ATATTTATAATAAAAAATATTTTTAATATATGCTTTTTAAAGTAAAAGTTAAAAAACTTAAAAAATAAATAATGTATTGTAGAATTTTTTAAAGCATAGATTATGTAACGTTTCTTTTATTATCTCTCAAAAAGCAAAACAATAAATAGGAGTTTAATCTATTGACGCCCTATTAGAGCTTTATAAAGAAAGTTGTCTCTCAAAGGTTCCGATAGGTTCATTTTTTAAGTAATTTAATTTTTTTATACTATTTATATTTCATAAATTTAAATTTTAGAAAAAAATTTACATTTTTAAATTTTTTTAATCTTAAAAAAATTTTAACTAATAAAAAATAAAAAACTTTAAATTCAAATTTTCATAAATTTCTTTTTTACTCACTTTTCTTATCTCTAAAAGTAATTTTTAAAATTTTCTTTTAATAAAAATTTAAACTTATCACTCATAAACAATACAAAAAAATAAAAACTCTTACAAACTACACCAAACACGTCCCAAGTCATTTTTATACTTTTTTGTACAAGTTAGAAGCATCATTTTAATTAATATTAGTTTGTATAAATTCACAATTTATTTTATTTTTTATTTTTGAACAAATTTGCATAGGCCGAAATGGAACCGTAACTTAGGAAAAGGAGAAATGCACTTTACATGTGACTTGAAATCACTGAATCGAAGATTCAATTGCATATAAATTCACATTTTAAATATCTAACCTCTCAACAAAACATATAACATAATATTTTTATTAATATTATTTTGTTTAATGTATTAAATAAAATATTTTAATTGTAAAACAATTTTACCACCTGTATAACTTGACAATTAAAATTTTTAAAAGAATGACTCATTTCAATTTAGTGATATTGGATTCTGAGTTAGAACTATTCACCTTTCGTAGGTTGCACGTTTGAATCCCACAAAAATCTTTTTCTTTGATCTCTCAATTAACCTATAAATAATTTCAATATGTTACAAAAACAAAAAGTTTCTTTTAAAGAAGAATAGTCTCTGTATACGGGAATGTAAAAGGACAACCCTCTTTTACAATAGAGGTCCAATAAGATGTTAATGGATTAAATTTATATCTATTATTTTATTTTTAGAGAAATAATAAAAAAATTATGTTATTCATTTTTTAAAATATTTTACAATACATAATTTATTTTAAAATTTTTGTAATTTTATTTTAAAGACACATATTAAGAACAATTTTTATTATAAATATATATTAAAAAATATAAAAATTAATATTAGTTTTAATTTTAATATTAAGTAAATAAA